TGGAGTTACCCTCAACTGGAGGGACGGAATGTTTGGAAAAGGAAAGTGTGCTTTATTTAGGGGAGGTGGGGTTAGTTCGTTTTGGAATATCCTTCTTGTGTGTTTTTTTCGGTGTTTAGGTCGCATAAAGGTACAATATTAGCCGAGGCCATATTTTGGACTTCTCCCCTATTGCTAGCCTGCCCCGTGTGCGTTCCACGCAACACCTTCCTTATCATCCTGATATAGAGAAATATCTCTGCTATGTAGAATTTTCTAACTGGATATACACCGATTGCTCATATTAATTTAATCATGTGGGGGTTTCAAGTATCAATCGCTACGCTAGCAATATCAATACAATACAATTGGAGCGGAAATACCTATCAGGCATCTTCCATTGGGGGAAGACAAGATTTGCTGTCACCCAGACAGCGATGTTATTGCTATTCATATACATGTTCCCACAGGTAAATTGAATTCCAATGTGAGTTTTTTTTATTGGATTCTTTTTTAGAAATCTTTTAATATTCCATTACTCGTATTGAATCTATCTAGATTTATTATGGTGAGACTGTGTTCCTCAGCTGGGCTGAGCGACTGTACCTCCTTCGGGCCTGTCCCTGTTCCCGATGCGAAGAGTTTGTTTTTTGTTTTACTGTTGTTTCGAAAGGGCCCTGTCTATGTTATGGGAACTATTGTTTAATTCCTGCTAAGTAGGCCCGGATTCACAAAGCCCACCAATGGGCAGCGAGCAACGTGCATATTACTACCATTTATAAATGCAACCAGTAACCGGGATACTCAACATTTCTCTTCCCAGGAAAATTCTACCGTTTAAGAAACAAACTGAGAACTATAGCTGTAAGAGGCAACAATGTCCCATTTTAGATGGTAGTTCGTCTAAATACAGCCATTTCTTTTCGGCGACTGCCATCCTGGGTATCCAAAGACATTAACTTGATCGAGATACCCCAAGAAAGTAACGTTTCTACGGCCTCCGCCCCAGTACCCAGGGCATTAGTACTACTTCTACAGCAATATATTCTAGATACAATCGGTTTAGACTTCAAATACCAAGTGAGGAGATAATTTTGGCTACTCATAGCCATCCTAACCCTCTTTTATTGAATGTATTTCCTCCCAAAACCTCCTACATCCAGCCATATCGTTTTCCCGAGAGCTACAGTAGTCAGGCATGTGGCCTACTTGGCAAACAAAAATACAGTACATGCGTATCGAAAACCTGTTTGATTGGTGACCAAGTCGTGATTGGAAACCTCGCCACCCACGTTACAATGCATTCAAGTTCAGAAAACACCCTTCTGCTCAGGCATGATTGATAACACTCACTAGGCGGCCAGACGCTATGCGTGCTATTAGAGAGGTATGTTATTATTATTATAGTCACCAGCATGGCCCAGTACTGCAGTCTTGGTATATGCATGTTGGGAGTTTATGCTTTTATAGAGAATACAAATATATAGAGAATGCAAATATAAAGGTTTATCTGGATATCAGGGGTGGGGGGGGAGAGACCAGCGCAGGTTGGATAATCTACCGGGCATCGACATGGATATGCTGCCTCTCTTCATACGCTAGATAGTTTAAGGACGAGGACTGATAAAAAATAAAAAATAATGTGGATGCTTCAAGATAATAATTATTTAGTATTTAAACACTTGAGGTAGGCCTTAGCAAATTAGTCGCTAAGCTAGGGGCCAGTAAAACAAATTCGCGTCAGGAACATAGGTGGGGGAGGTTAGTCTGGTTGGGGGAGGTATGGTCGCTCAGTCCAGCTGAGGGACGCAGTTGTTCTCGTGCCCAGACCAATTTATTTGGTGTAGTGTGTGTCAATTTATTTGGAAAGTCTGGTATGGTCGCTCAGTCCAGCTGAGGGACGTAGTTGTCCTCGTGCCCAGACCAATTTATTTGGTGTAGTGTGTGTCAATTTATTTGGAATACCAAATAACACTACACCAAGTAAATTGGTCTAGGCACGAGAACATGACGCAGTCTCCCTTCATAATCTAGATAAATTCAAACGAATAATGAATTACAAAAAAATTTCTATAAAACACATCGGATCAGTCTGGTATGGTCGCTCAGTCCAGCTGAGGGACGCAGTTGTCCTCGTGCCCAGACCAATTTATTTGGTGTAGTGTGTGTCAATATATTTGGAATACCAAATAACACTATACCTCTAGGCACGAGAACATGACGCAGTGTCCCTTCATAATCTAGATAAATTCAAACGAATAATGAATTACCAAAAAATTTCTATAAAACACATCGGATCAATATACGTGTGGGCCAATAGTCTGGGGGAAACAGCAAAATTGTCTTTCCCCCCATTAAAGGTCTTTCCCCCCATTAAAGATGCCTGTAGGTATTTCTTTGATACATATGTGTTTCAACTGTATTGTGGTGATACCCTTCAGGCTCCTGACACCACCGGCAACGAAGAGAGCTCATTAGGTCCATCGCAACCTTAGAACAACTAGACCGTCCCATCTAGAAGAAGGAAGATGACGAGTGGGATGCGGTTGAGGGAGATTATTTTTTTTTTTTGTTTTCTGTTCTCTTCTCCTTTTAGGTTATCTATCTGTTTTGTACGTACCTAGTCGCACCGGGCTGGAAGATTAACTTGCCTGACCCCGGGCATCTGGGTTACTTGTCATGCAACCCTTTAATCACGAGTAATAATAATGGGCTTTTAGGGGGAAAAGAATATGATACCTTCAGTGAACACTAATCGAAAACCATGACTACATTAAATAGCGAGTGATCAATGTATTCCAAGTTAGAAATTTACGTAATGTAGCAGAGAGATTTCTAGATTCTATGGAGGTGCACGCCAAAAGTCTTTTCCTCCTTCCTATTTTGAGGTATTTTGGCTTGGCGCCAAAACACGCATTGAAGGAGGATGGCATGCCATCCTCCTAATAATAGGGCGAAAGTCAACCCAGAAATATGACCTCGACCGATATGGTACTGAGATTAGAACTTGTCCAGTTCATCACAGCACTAGAGATCCGGTCGGCAGATGACGGAGTAGTCTCTTGTTGTCGAGGGAGCTACTAACCATGACCTTCACCAGAAATTAGTTTCATGATGACTACTCCACAGTTTAGAGCATGGGTGTTTGTAGGACGGACAGAAGTGCTGCCGTGAGAGCAAAGGTGATTTCCAGCAGGTAGGTTCCACTGCCGCTATACCTTTTAAGCCCAAACTGGTCCAAAGTACATTATAGGATTCCGGCTGTGTTTACCGTGTACATGACTTTTCCCTCTCACAAAACCGAACAGCTGTGGGTGAGATCTGTTTTCATGATGAGGTCAAAGTTGAATTGGTGAGTATTTCTTTTTAAACAAGCTCGAAACTCTTTCCGCGCGACGGTAGATGATTAATTTGCTAAGGCCCCTACCTGGAGTGTTTAAATACTAAACCTCTAGTTGCAGTAATTATTATCTAAAAGCATCCACATATTTCTTTATCTTTTTTTTTGCAAATCAGTCTTCGTCTTTAAACTATAGCTTTGAAGAGATCTATATTTGTATTTTCTATATGCATATCTCCCAACATGCATAGGTCGGGACTACAGTACTGGCCCATGCTGGTGACTACGGTGATAATAGCATACCTCTCCAATAACACGCATTGCATCTGGCCGGCCACAAACATAGTGAGTCCTACATTCAAGCCTGCTGGTGGCTAGGCAGAAGGTTTCTTTTTTTAGAATTGAATGCATTGTAACGTGGGTGGCGGGACTTCCAATCGCGACTGGGTCACCGATCAAACAGGTTTTGGGTATAGCGCAGACGTTTGTGGACCAAATGGGCTAAAACTTTGGGAATACAATATGCAGTTTTGCTGGCCAAGTAGGCAAAGGCCCGCGTGCCTTACTACTGGGAACTATATATCGGGAAATTATATGGCTGGATGTAGGAGGTTTCGGGAGGAAATATATTCATATTTATATAAGAGATTCAGGAAGGCTGCGAGTAGCGAGAACACTTGGTATTGAGGGTCTAAACCGACCGTATTAAGAATTTCTTGGAGTATCTCGACCCAGGAGGTTCCAAATACACCTGGGTATCCTCATGGAAAGTATGTATGCAAGTGAGCCTTTATAACAAATGGCAAATTCGGTGAAACTGGCTGAGGTCATCCTGCAGAGACCCTCTCTGGAAGAGGGTAAATTTTATTGGCATAGATTGGGATAAAGTGTCTGCTACATATGAAATAGGGCATCTTTCAAACGACTTGGCATATTAATCCCGATAAATACTGAGTTGGTTACCCTGAGATGTCTTATTGGGAGAAATGGCTACATCCTAGCAGAGCCCCAACAAAGGTCCATATCTAGCACTGGAGACCGCAAAGAATGGTGTTAATAGGGAGGTGTCTTGACTTGTGGGCGCTACATTGGGACCTTCTTTGATAGAGTCTATATTTAAGAAATGTCTTTATTACCTCCCTCCCGTGGGGGAGGAACCTCCCGGCATAGCCATCATTAGTGGTAGCACTCATAATAACCACCCCACTGGCACTCTACAACTACGTAACTATTGGCCGTTTGCAAGGCGCAGCTGACCAACATGGCGGGCGTGCCACTAGAGGCGCGAGACTACTAGCGGTAATATTGAATCCAGTTGCGAGCACTGCATCCCAGGGCTTATACTTCTGCCGCGACATGCTGGAAGCCCTAGCTTTTATTTTTACAGGAATCATTTGATGCTAGCGATCGATGAACCTGGCTCTTGTTGTCGGGTCTAGGTACCTCTAGTCGAAAGCTATGTAGTCTTGCTTAAAAAACTGGAAAAAACTAAACCAGACTACGTTGGGCAGGGCACTCCGTGGGTATTATCTAGCGTCCAGCATATGCGGAATGCTTCAGCACTGGCATTGCTCCCACAGAAACAAAATGCATGTGAAATAAATCGATTATTGAAAATTTTGGCATTCAGTTGCTTTTCGTTTATATAGCAGTAGATATGCTTTTATGTATGTTCCGCAATGTCAAGGTGGTGGAGTGGTTAACACGTTCGCCTGCTATCCAGTTTCTGGAGAAGTTAGCGGATGCCTTCTGGGCGCGCAGGTTCGAATCCTGTCCTTGACGTTTCTTTTTGCTTTTGCATCTCCTGATGTAACTTTCAACTAATGCCATGCCACAAGGTCTTTCCCCCTGTGGGGCTTGGCTAGTCTGGGCACAAAACCGCTCCGTATCTATCGTAGACTGGCGGGTCTCTCGCAGACATAGCCGTAGGTCGCAGCTATCTCTATGTATAGGCTCCAGCTCCACGGTACCATATATCTAATCAGCGCATGTATCCCACACAACACCTCAGCGATAATATCGTCTATATGGGGCCGCGGGGCTACGTCTACATACGACACTGCAGTAGAAAATATCGAAATCCCCTCTACGAGGGGGTTGTGCCAACCAGACTACGAAATCATGCCGCCGCAATAACTATAAATGGCCTAGCGCAGAAAAAGAGAAACAAAAATGTCAAGAAGGCGTGTAGCGGGCTTGGGTTTCTGATGTGCTGGACGGCTGGATGGGATGGTGGAGTGATGCACATAGCAGTGTTATTCTTGAATGGCGGAATCTTGGGGGGTTGTTATCTCTGAACTACCTGTATGGGCATATCCAACTTCTTCAGCGGACATTTGCTCGCATGGCTTAGTTGGTAAAGCGCGTCACTAGTAATGACGAGATCCTGTGTTCGAATCACAGTGTGAGCAGTAAGCCTTCTTTTTTTTCGCCGTCCTCCCGAAGTGAGGGGGGAATGGGCGGAAGCTGGACTATAGATAACAATTTGTAAATTGACACCTTCGTGCAAACTGACATACCGTAGAAACTCGCGGACAAGGAAGTAACAATGTATAAGAAAAAAATAACCTTGAATAAGACGCTGGGGAGGGCCCAGAGCGGATTTGCTTGGGGGTTGTATCGTGAATAAGAAAGGTATTGCTGACGGTAGAATGTTCTAGCACACACGCATAGAAACATCAACCTTTCGATGTTTGTATAAAGCATCCCCACTACCCATCTATACACTTACCCACCCATAACCCATGGTCCCGCATGCAAAATGCCACCAAAACGACAAGGTCCCACACTTCCGAAAACACGGCTAAAACGCCCACGAGCGCAAGGCCTTATTCAGTATTGTCCGCTCCTTTCAAAAGGGTGGTATGACAGTAGCAACTGGATGGCAGTGAGCATAAAGATATTAATATTCGCGGGCTTGATGGGTATATTGTTGGTGCCTCGGCCAATGCTTCAGCTAGTTCAGTCGGAGCTGTGGAATCTGAGAGCTCTGACTCTGGTGATGCAGACACGACAGCAAGCGAATCTGATGCGGGACCTGAGCCAGTAAGGCTTCCGCCTCACATTCAGTTGGGTGAAGAGATTGTTTGAGGGTGGCCGGTGTAGTGCAGATTTGTAATCACTTGTTGTAGGAAGAATATGTGTAACTCTAGTGGAAAACCACACATCAGAAAGTAATTATGATTAAGAAAGTACCTATTATTAAGAAAGTAACCGTGAATAAGACGCGGAGCTAGCTTTTGGCAATACCGCCGTACTGTAAAAAAAGACTGCAGTCTTGTCCGCGAGTTTCTACGGTTATAACCTGGAGAACTATTCTGGTTTGGGCCGAGCCTAAATCTGGTCTTAATAATATACAGTATCTGTTTGCTAAATTGGCTAGCCAGCTCAAGGCCCCCATCTGCGATACCGATATAACCGCACAGTGCAAAAACGAAGTCAAGCACGCTGATAAAGTAGCCAGTTTGTCGAGTACATGGCAAACTTCGGCCTAATTAGGAAGTGACTACCCTGTTAGGCCTAGCCCCAAAACGTACGTTTGGCCGGAGGCTCGTTGCGCGTGGTGGTTTGGCAGCTCCTGCTGTGTTTGGGCTTTGAATGGTTGGTCAGTGAGAATGCTGGGCTGGGGTAGGGCTGCGCTCGTGCTTGTTTGGATGCTCTTTATTGTATCATAGGTACAGGTGATTCGCATGGCATCCGACCTGGGCTCAGGGTAACAAGCTGTGCCGTGGGAGCTGGCCGAGAATAACTCAACATTCTTCCGGATCCTATAGAGGGAAAGATGTTGCGCAGTTTTTATCCCAATGTTTTTCCGCAAATACTCCAATATAATTCCGCAGCTGCGTGCGAAATTGGGCAGTTGGCAAGCTAGGAAGATACTGGGTTTCCAGGATATCCTGGGACGGTCGGCCGCTGGCCTGGTTGCCGCCTGGTTGTTGCCTTGCTGGCAAAAGCCAGCTTACATACAGCGGCACTCACCTGGCGCAGCTGCTGGGCATGCGCTCTTTGCTTGAACTGTCTATTTCGCTGGTCCAAAAGTTGCTATGGTCAGGATCCTAGGAACGATAGGTATCCGCTTCCTGGAAGGTTGGTTTCCACTAGCGCAGTTTCAGCTGTAATTGTATTCCTCTGCCTCCACTGCGGCGAAATCCAGTTCAGGGTAATGACAACTACAAGCCAAAAGATACGGCTCGTCTGCAAGGAGGTGCAAGGCCGGCGCTGTTACTACAGTATGGGGATGCTGGTGGAATAGTCCTGGGATGCGTGCCTAATATTGCATCTTGCGGAAGCTGGAAATAGGTTACCTCCGGAGTCGTGCCCATGCCCAGGGATATTGTCCAATATTGTTGCAAGCCATGCCAGAAACAATATCTATTTCGTAGGCGGTCGGCGATATGGTAGCGACTACACTAGCAATAGAAGTGAGTTTTCGGGAGTCGAGATCTGGTGTTTCCCCTTCCTGGTTAGCGGCTAGGGACTCAGCAGCGCCGAATCACTCTATTTCCGCACCCATTCCGTGGCTATTGTGCCCGTTTCATGCATGGTAGCAGGCAAGGTCAGGATGGTGAGAGTGTTCAATATTTTCGCATGAGTGTTTAAGTATTACCTGAAGCCGCCGTGGCCATATTTGTTATTCCGCAACTTGGTAAACCAAACACATGTTGCCTGGACCGACGGCTGCACTGGTGAGAGTAAGCGGATACATACCCTTAAGTTGCCAGCGCGGGGATGAATTGTGACAGTACGAGGCTAAGGAGTGATTAGTTAGCGATATATCGATATCAGCTTTTTGTCCTGATACTACTTTGTCGAGAAACACGAATTGCACTAAAACATTTGGATTAGGGTCGAAGTAATATACGTTGAGTGTGTCTTCAATTTTCAGACTCAGAGGAATATAGTACAGTGCGGAGTCGCAGAATTCGGTCCATTTATTATGTCCACGAGCCGGAGGCCAGCAGCGGCGGCGGTATGTGCCGAGGGAGAGCAGAGACCGGCGCGAAGGCTGGATACTGCGCTAGGCACAGGTCTGGGGATGCGGTCTCCCTCATAAATATGTAGATTGTTTCAATGCGAGTAAGGATTGCCAAAAAAAAAAAGAAAAAAAGAGATGATCATCAAGGGCACATAGGAACTAGCGCTCACTTGTCCAAGAACCGTGCTCACTCAAGGATAATAGAACGATTCAAATTATGGAGCCATTCTCCGCCCACGTGTATGTCGGAGGCGCCTGGCCACAATGGCAGGCTGAGCGGTCACAACAGCCTGAGCGCGCGAGAGCACCCACACTTCGGACGGACGATCGCGGGTCCATCCGCCGCTGGGGGCCTACAACGGCGCAACCGCAGACGATCGACAAACGTTGCGGAAAAGGAAAACGAAGGCGGTAAAGCCTGCGGACCGAACAGTATGTTTCGGCAGCCGGCAGCAGCTAATGGAAGCATAGCTGATGGGCACGACATCACCAGCAGCGCCAATGACAGCCGGTACCGCCGCCAAAATAAGGAGCGGCAGGGACGGCTTCGAAGATCGCAACACTGCCACGCGGATGTCCATCACCGACAGAAAATAAAAGCAAAGAATGGATCTACCTCGCCCACAGCCTGACGAAAATCATGGGGAGCCACCGCTACATTGCATCCACGATTCCAAGAATGCAGCAAGGCACCATGCCGACTCTGTCTAGTACCTCAGGTGGACGCCGACGCAGCGACCCGGACTACGCCTCTGGTTTCGCCAACGACAGGAATCAGACTCCCAGGGACGACAGCAGGTACCGGAGCCCAGACTGCAGCTTTCCCGACGGCACTACAGCACCCCGCATAAGCGCCTCTACCGACCGCCGGCACAGATCTATGCGGAGTGGCTGTTCAAGTCACGCCTACGAGAGCGGTCCCAGGAGAGGAGCATACACCGGCAGACAATCGAAAAGGGAGAAGGAATGAAATGACGGGAACACAGGCGGCATAAAAGGGGCCAGAGTGCACCACCGGGAAATATTGTTGGAAAGTGAAAGGAAAAGGAAGAGGCGGGTGAATCCACAATCACCCATAGGCAGGGGTAAAGCTGCCAGAGGGGGAGAGGAGCGCTCATTGTGTTACGAAAAACTGCTGAGAGGGGAGGATGTCTGGGGGTGCCGGGACCGCGGCCGCAATACAACACTACCCTCATCCAGGAGCGATACCCCACCACAGGCGCGCGCTGGTCATGCATGCAGTATCAATACAAGCCTGGAACCATGCGAATGGAGGATAATAAAGGTGTAGGGATGAGATGGTTTTTGAAAGAGGTCCGGCGGCACTCACTACATGAATACTGTAAGTTGGCAGAGGTTACACGACTGCGGATGGGTAGGCGGATCTTCCGCGCCACATCTTATTGACTGGAATCATTGATTTCCCCTGCGCACGGAATTTTCTACTGGGGTTGAGCTGATTATCTGTCCGCCTGCGTGTCTTCGGGATGGTTTTTTTACCTGCATGAATATTTATCGGTATTTCTCACCTGCAGTTCCACCTGCGGATTTTTGTTCGTTCTCTACCTGCGAGTTTTCACCTGCGCGGTACTGCTTGATGCTTTCATTTCCCCTCCCTGGGGGTATCTGGTCATGTACGTAGATCGGAGCAGGGAGCGGCCACGGGGTTGGATAATCCTCCAGGCCCAATACGAGTACTTCCCCTGAGTCTAATTCACGTATTAGCCAAGAAGCGGCACCCTGGCGCGGATCCTGAATATTTCAAGAACCCCGAAATACTCTGAGCAGTTATAGTTCACAATTTTAA